AGCGCCACCGCACTCCCAAGCGGCGCACTGTAGCAGTGCGCCACCGGGCCGGCCCCTAATTGTGATGATTTTAATTAGGGCTGATATGGGTGGGATGTACAGAGAAGCAAGCGTGGTGGTTCCTGACCACCTTCTTGAGGGCCAGTAATTTATTATTTTAGTTTTGGGTCTGGGTTCCTCATTCTCCTTCCCATAAAGTGTCATCACCACTGGAGGAAGAGGCCCAGTTATTTCCTTGATATCAGAAGGCAGTGTGGCTGCATGGTTGAGAACATTGACTCTGGAATCAGACAAATCTGAGTTCGAGATATCCCTACACAAACATGTACTTAAATATATATGTGCTTTTGTTTTTATGCCAAAGAGAAATCAAACCCATGCCATCTATAAAAACACCCTCTTCTTGGCCAATGATTTCATCATCAGAGACATCCTCCTCAGCATCGACTTCCAATGTGCCTACCCACTGGACATGAAAGTCAGCCTCCAAACTGCCCTGCAGCCCATCGTAAGGTACGACACTGACCCTTGCCCTTTGAGCCTAACCCTGACTTAGTTACACAAACTTCAAGTGCAACTTATCGTGTCCACACAGTGCTACCGACCTCCTTCAGGAGTTTCTATTCCTTCAATCATTCATTGCACAAATATTTGTTGGTCGTCTGTTAAGGGTGTTCAACATGAATAATGTAGACATAGGACATTTTGTGGATATTAAAGATTGTTATTATGAAGCGGTGCAGCCATGTGAAACTGTGCTTATTAAATGTGCCAGGGAACAAAACTACAGGACAAGTTCATTCACCTTGAGAAAGAAAGGTCTTAAACAGCTATTTATGCCAATAATTGTTTACAAGTGAGATGAATACAATGTAGGAGAAACACGAGTTGCTTAGGAAGCAGGGAACAGGGGTCCAGGACCTAATCTTGGTGGGTGGGGATGTAGGTCAGGAAGGCTTCCCTGCAGACACAGGATTTAAGCANTAATCTTGGTGGGTGGGGATGTAGGTCAGGAAGGCTTCCCTGCAGACACAGGATTTAAGCAGAGACCAGCTTTGACTGGATAAACAGCACCCCCGCCCCCACCACAAATAGAACCAAATGGCATTTGGGTGGGATTTGATCTGGACAGGGGCTTTTGTGTGTTTTGCTGACTGCTGTACCTCCATGCCTGAAATGCAGCCCTATTGAATCAGTTCCTTAGCATTCTTAGACTTTCCATGGTGTAAGAAATACAGAGAGCCCTTTCCATTTCTCTATTACTTCCTGGGCTCACTGAGTGGCAGGATCAGAAAGATTAGAAGTTTTCTAATTCAACGATTTTCAGACTGTATTGTGTTGGGGCTCATGGTTCATAAAAAATCAAAATTAAGGCCACTGATCTTGTTAAAATTGGTGTTTCACTGAAGATTGTGGGATGGAGGGAAGAGGTCTGCTGCTAAAATTTGTGAACCCACAGAACTAGTCCCAAACGCTGCTCTCCAGGTGGGAAGATGGAGGGTACCCAAACATTATTATTCCTTGACTGTGACTGCCATGCAGGGAGCATTGGTGGAAATCCTGGAGACAGACTTGTCTCTTTGTCAATTTTAGTGCCTAGAAGCTAGTAAATGCTTGGTTTAAATGAATGATTGAATGGTCCATTTAGGGATCAAAGGTGTGCCTTTGCCTTTATAACCTTATGCAAGTGCAGGGCTTGATTTATGGCATTCTCACTGGTCAAAGCCTGATGTTTTCCCTCTTTTGGTTTTCCTTGTCTCAGTTCCCTGAACATCAGTGTGGGTGGGGAGGGAGAGTTCACTGTCAGCATGGCTCTCTTCGAAGACGAGAACTACACGTATCCTTACGAAGGGGCTATGGCTGTGCTGTCAGTTGAATCCATGCTCTATGTGGGCGCCATCCTGGAGAAGGGGGACACCTCCCGGTTTAACCTGTTGCTGAGGAACTGCTATGCCACCCCCACTGAAGACAAGGCTGACCCTGTGAAGTATTTCATCATCAGAAACAGGTATCGGATGACTCTGGGATTCTCTTTTGGCCTTCATGAGGTTTGGGGGGAAATATTCTTCTCATTCACGCCTGGCAGTTGTGTAAATTGGCTTACCACTTTTGGGAGTAATTTGGTATTACATATTATAACCATACCCTTTGGCCCAGGAATATTACTACTGAGATGTTAGCCTAAAGTATTAATACAAAATATTTGGGCAGGGTAAAGAAACGCCAATTATTTTCCATTTCAGCCCTATTGTTGATAGCTTTGGCAATAGGTTCATTGTTCAAAAATAGGGGATTGATTAAGTAATGATGGATTATTATGTAGATGTTAACACTGAGCAACATAAAAACGATATGACAAACATATTGGACCAAATATTACTGACTATTGTTAACTGACAAAAACAAAGGAAAAATATGCATCTATAGGTCATGATTTACTAGCTAATGTTTATCATTGAGCTTAGCTATGTGCCAGACACCATGCTAAGTAATATTCATGGGTTGTCTCATTAAATGACCACATCAACTCTATCAGATGGACATGACTGTCACCACTTTACACGTAAGGAAATTGAGGCTTAGTAAGGTTAAGTAACCTGCCCATGATCACGTAGCTAGAAAGTGGGCTAGGCTGGAATTTAAAACCAGTTTGTCTTACTGCAGAGACTACGCCCCAAATCATTGCAACCATGTGAGCTCATGGATAACGTCTTGGAGGAAACATAGAGGAANTCAGTTCCCTGAACATCAGTGTGGGTGGGGAGGGAGAGTTCACTGTCAGCATGGCTCTCTTTGAAGACGAGAACTACACGTATCCTTACGAAGGGGCTATGGCTGTGCTGTCAGTTGAATCCATGCTCTATGTGGGCGCCATCCTGGAGAAGGGGGACACCTCCCGGTTTAACCTGTTGCTGAGGAACTGCTATGCCACCCCCACTGAAGACAAGGCTGACCCTGTGAAGTATTTCATCATCAGAAACAGGTATCGGATGACTCTGGGATTCTCTTTTGGCCTTCATGAGGTTTGGGGGGAAATATGCTTCTCATTCACGCCTGGCAGTTGTGTAAATTGGCTTACCACTTTTGGGAGTAATTTGGTATTACATATTATAACCATACCCTTTGGCCTAGGAATATTACTACTGAGATGTTAGCCTAAAGTATTAATACAAAATATTTGGGCAGGGTAAAGAAACGCCAATTATTTTCCATTTCAGCCCTATTGTTGATAGCTTTGGCAATAGGTTCATTGTTCAAAAATAGGGGATTGATTAAGTAATGATGGATTATTATGTAGATGTTAACACTGAGCAACATAAAAACGATATGACAAACATATTGAACCAAATATTACTGACTATTGTTAACTGACAAAAACAAAGGAAAAATATGCATCTATAGGTCATGATTCAAATCATAGTAATACTACTAGCTAATATTTATCATTGAGCTTAGCTATGTGCCAGACACCATGCTAAGTAATATTCATGGGTTGTCTCATTAAATGACCACATCAACTCTATCAGATGGACATGACTGTCACCACTTTACACGTAAGGAAATTGAGGCTTAGTAAGGTTAAGTAACCTGCCCATGATCATGTAGCTAGAAAGTGGGCTAGGCTGGAATTTAAAACCAGTTTGTCTTACTGCAGAGACTATGCCCCAAATCATTGCAACCATGTGAGCTCATGGATAACGTCTTGGAGGAAACATAGAGGAAGAGAAAAAGTCCATGCTGTCATGATGGAGGGAACCTGGAGCGCTCTTTAATTTTCTCTGATGCTGTTTTAGAAGTTACATTCTTGCCCTCTGTCACTCTCCCAGCTGCCCAAATCAACATGATTCCACTATCAACGTGGAGGAGAATGGGGTGTCCTCAGAAAGCCGGTTCTCAGTACAGATGTTCATGTTTGCTGGAAATTATGACCTAGTTTTCCTGCATTGTGAGATTCATCTCTGTGATTCCCTCAATGAACAGTGCCTGCCGGTGAGTGTGTCTTTGGACCAGAATATTCAGAGCCTGGCTTGGGGCCTGGCACTGGATAGGCTTTTCATATATATTCATTGGAATTATGGAGAGAGGGAGGGAAGGAGAGAGGGAGCAAGGAAGAAAGGAAGGAAGGAAGGAAGGAAGGAAGGAAGGAAGGAAGGAAGGAAGGAAGGGAGGGAAGAAGGCTGAAGAGATGGAAAGACAGATGGGTGGGTGGATGGATGTGAGGGAGGGAGAGAGGGAAGAACTAAGAAAGAAATACATGGAATTTAGATCTCCTAAAAGCCCTTTTGCAAGCAATCACTTTGTCCCCAAGAGGCAGACCAGGTGAAGGAGACTGTCCACTAGGTTTTCTTGATACAAGACGCATTTTAAATGATTATAATAATACTTGACTTTTTCAGTGCATACTGTGTCCATCATCATGCTAAAATTTTACATGCCTTAGCTAATTTGACTCTCACAACAACCCCTTAAGTAAATCCTTTTATCAACCCCTTTGTACAGTTAAGGAAACTAAGGCTCAGAGAAGCCCCTTGCCCAAGGGCATACACAGCTAGAGAGTATCAGAGCTGGGACTTGCACCAGCTGAGATGTGAGTCCAGTGCCCATGCTCTTACCCCCATTTGGTACTGCCTGGGAATAGTGGACATATGTTGAGGACTTACTATGTGCCCATGTGTTGCAGACATACCTTATTTTAATCTTTACAACTGGGTACGTATTATTTAATCGTTGTAGAGAGGTGAAGTCATTTGCCCCCAATTACAGCTAAATGAGAGTAAGATGAGATTCAGACTCAGAATTGTTTGACATGGCAATGAGAATTCTCTAGATTAAGATAACCATGGCATCAGAATGAGGGGCCTACGGCTGGTGGAGCCCAGTTTTTAGGCCAGAACTTCTTATTGCGCTTATGTTTACAGTTAAGGAAACTAAGGCTCAGAGAAGCCCCTTGCCCAAGGGCATACACAGCTAGAGAGTATCAGAGCTGGGACTTGCACCAGCTGAGATGTGAGTCCAGTGCCCATGCTCTTACCCCCATTTGGTACTGCCTGGGAATAGTGGACATCTGTTGAGGACTTACTATGTGCCCAGGTGTTGCAGACATACCTTACTTTAATCTTTACAACTGGGTAGGTATTATTTAATCATTGTAGAGAGGTGAAGTCATTTGCCCCCAATTACAGCTAAATGAGAGTAAGATGAGATTCAGACTCAGAATTGTTTGACATGGCAATGAGAATTCTCTAGATTAAGATAACCATGGCATCAGAACGAGGGGCCTACGGCTGGTGGAGCCCAGTTTTTAGGCCAGAGCTTCTTGTTGTGCCCAGTTTTTAGGCCAGAACTTCTTATTGCAGGGGCAGTCTAAATAGAAACCATGTAGTTAAATTTTGATATAATGCAAGTTTTCCATCCTCACAGTCTTGCTCAGGAAGTCAAGTCCGCAGTGAAGTACTGGCCATCAACCTAGCCCAGGTTCTAGATCTGGGACCCATTACTCGGAGAGGTAAGTGGCCAAGTCCAGGCGGCAAGGTCAGCTGGCCAGGTGCTGAGAGCTAACCACAGATGCCTGGGGTCAACTGCCCAACTACTCAGGGCATTTCTGTCTCCTCAGCCCGGCCCCGTGGCCAAGTCCAGGCGGCAAGGTCAGCTGGCCAGGTGCTGAGAGCTAACCACAGATGCCTGCGGTCAACTGCCCAACTACTCAGGGCATTTCTGTCTCCTCAGCCCGGCCCTCACTGATGAATCTCTATTCCCATGAGGTGCTTTGGGTAATAATAATAACACTGCTATTTGTGGTGGGCCTCCCATGTGCTAGAGTCCAGGCTGAGCTCTTGCATCCATCAATTTATGTCATCCTCCCATGACTGTGTCCATTTTACAGGTGAGAAATTAGGGCTTAGAGAGATTAAGTGACTCACCCAAGATGACCCTGCTCATGAGTGGCTGGAATTGAACCCAGCTGAGTCTGATTCCAAAGCACGTGGCCTTTTCCTTCCTACACCTGCTCCCAGGTCCTCATAACTCAGTCCCAACTCCCCCTTATATGCAATTTTCTTTTCTAGTGAATGACTGTATTTTCCAAAATCAGCTACAGTATTCTGGAGTATGATATAGGGGGAACTTTCCAACTACTTTTCAAATTTTCACCCATCCTACACATGAATTAGCAGTATTGTCATGGTTTTTGTTTCCATCAGAATGGAGAAGTCAAGAAACCCAAAAGAATGAAAGCATTTTTTTTTTGGCCTAAAGGAATTAAGATGCATTAATAACAGTAATAATAGTAATACTTTGGCTGTGCCTGACACCACGCCAAACACCTTTACATGCATTATCACTTGAATGCTCACTATAGCCCAAGGACGTGAGCACTGTTATACTTCTGTTCTCTAGATGGGTAAATGGAGGCTGTCTCATGAAGAATGCTCTGCTCTGAGTTGTCCTGACCTTTTACTGAGCCCGCAAATTCCACTTGGGAATCAGACATGCTGGAGTTCAAATCCCAGCTCTGCTACTGAATGGCAAGGTCAACCTGGCCAGTCCTTCAACATGACTGAGCCTCAGTCTTCTCATCTGTCGAATAGGATGAGCATACGTGCCTCACAAATCTATTGAGAGGATTAAGTTTAAAATGTGTAAAACGTGTTTACAAAGGTGCTTACAGATGCCTCCACAATGTGGATTGTCAGTGGTTGTGATGAGCAGGTCCAGGAGGATTTGGAGCAGCTACGGCCACAGTGCTGTAGTCACTGGAGCATGACTAAGGAAACCCTCACCTTTTGCTCTTGTTCACAGGTGCCCAGTCTCTTGATGTCATGAATGGAACCCCCAGCACTGCAGGTACATCATTTTCTTATAGCTTTCATGTAGGCCTCCCAACTCTCTCTCCTTCCTCTTTTCAACTTAGTGCACATTTATTCAGCCCTTCTGTGTGCTGGGCCCTGTGCTGGAGACTGTGGACACTGAAATGAATCAGACCCAAGGCTGAGTTTTGACACACTCAGAGTCTAGCAAAGGAGACAGTCATTTAACAACAAATATTTATCGAGTGCCTACTGTGTGCCAGGCATTGTTCTAGGCACTGAAGATATGCTGGTGAACAAGACAGACCAGGTGCCTGCCCTCACAGAGCTTATGTTCTAGTGTGGGAAGTGGCTAATAAAAAGTAGACAAGGTAATTTAGAAATAAAGGTGATGCGATAGAAATTTACCAGCATGAGTAATGATGCCTTAAATAAGATGGAAATTTATTTCTCTGACACATAAAGTTTAGAGGCAAGCAGCCAAAGGCTACTAGGACAGCACCACGAAGTCATCAAAGATCCAGACTTCTTCCAGCTCAACCCTCCACCGTCTATAAGGTGTAGCTATTGTCTTCATGGTCCAAAATGGCAGCCAGAGCTCCAAACTTCATGTCTAAGCAGCAGGATGGAGGGAACATAGAAGCAGTCAATGAATGTTAAGGAACATTTCTGGAAGTTGGCATCTATGCCTCCACTGACATCTCATTGGCCAGTGATTAGTCACATGGGCATACCTGGCTGAATGGATGCTGGGAAATGTAATCTTTATGCTGGGTGGCCACGTGCCTAACCAACATCCGATGGTTTTGTTATCAAGGTAGGGAGGAAGAATGAATATTAGAATGGATAAGTGGTCAGAAAAACCTTCAGAGAAAGTAATATTTGAACAAAATGAGAAAAAGGAGCCAGGTGTGCAGATGAGCCAGGTGTGCACCTGAGAGCAATGAGCCCTATAGGCAGAGGGAGCAATGATTAACTGCACAGATAAGACAGGCACATAGTACATAAATGACAAGCAAGTACATAGTACAGAAGGAGTATACGAGAAGACTGATTAACTGTATTGGGTAATGTCTGGAAAGAATTTCATCAGGTAGTAATATCCGAATGAGGTTTTGATGAATGGGGCTCAACAGGCAGACAAATCAAAGGCATATATTTTGGACAAAATGTAAAGCACCTGCTATTAAGATTTTGCTACTCTCTAAAATGACCTACATTGGTTAACCCAATAGACATGAAAAAGTTCTTTTCATCCTCAAATCCCCAACTAGATCGCCATCTAAAAATTTCCCACATAAGTCCAAGGTGGCCTCTGGATGCTCAGTGGTAACTTTCAGACCATTCTAAGAAAAGTAATGCTCATTGGAGAGAGTGGTTAGAGCTGAGACTAAAAACAGCTTGAAGTCAGGGACCTCGAGTCTCATTAGTTTCATTAGTTTTTGCAAGTCCTCAGGTTAGCAGAATGATTGGAACAGTGTGGCTTCCCAGTAGAGTTTGCTGAATTGACTAATTTCTAGGGTGAGTGGTGGATTTTAGAGCTTTCTGGAAGAGCGGGGGATCAATCTGATGTGGAAGCAGCAGACCACCACAAGAGGGCACTTGTGGCTTTCATTGTTTGCTGTCTCCCAGGATCATTTTTGATGTTTTAAAACTAACTGAACATCAACCTATATTTTGTAATTATGAGCTGGTTGTCATACACTTATATGTTTCTGAAAATTATTATATTTCTCTTCCCACTTCTAGGACTTCAGCAAGTACTTTGAAATTTGGGGGATGGGGAGATGTTATAATTTGGTAGTATGGTGGGAGAGGGTACACATGCTTCTCCTAGGATCCCGAGTACAAGGCAACTATCATCCAGGATCCATGCCATTATTAACACTGAGTACACAGTGATGTGCAAAAGACATATGATCCCAGGCCTCCCAGATCTTAGAGTCTAATTTTCAAGACCAGGACTTATATGATATTTTCCATGTGCCAGGCACTGTTCTAAATGCTTGATATGAATTCACTCATTTAAGCTTTACAAAAATCCAATGCAGTGACAGGTGCTGTTAATATTTCTGTTCCGTGTACAGAGAAATGCAGACAAAGAGAGGTTTAATAACTTGCCTGGGATTGCCTGGCTAGTTGCAGAGCTGAGATTTTAAGCTAAGCAGTCAGGCCTCAGAGGCAGTGCTTTCTAACCTCTGTGTCTTTCTGCCTTAGTCAGCATAAGTTATGCTAGATGCTGTAATGAACAATTCCCAGTCCTCTGTGTTGTGTGTAAAGACACAATAGTATAATTTCCCACTAAATCACTAAGGGGCGGGGCTGGGGGAAAGTTCTGCTCCATGCAGTCATTAGGAACTCAGGTTCTCTTCCTACCTTCTGGTAACTTCTTTCAACTCCATGTTGTGTGTAAAGACACAATAGTATAATTTCCCACTAAATCACTAAGGGGCGGGGCTGGGGGGAAGTTCTGCTCCATGCAGTCATTAGGAACTCAGGTTCTCTTCCTACCTTCTGGTAACTTCTTTCAACTCCACTATCCCTGAGTCCTATCCTGGATCCTCCGCATCTGGTCCTTGATGGTGGGTGAGAGAGCATGCAGGATCATGTAGGAGGTTTCAAAGACCGGGCCTAGAAGTGGCACGGATGACTTCTACCCACATTTCACTGGCCAGATTCAGTGACATGGCCCCACCTACCTGCAAAGGAGGCTAGGAAAACCTGCTTTTTTGTGCCCAGAGGAAAATGAAAAGAGAAGCTGGTGATTAGATCACTTTGCCTCTACCAAGGACTCACCGGGGCTGTAACCCAGAGCACATAAGGATGTTCTGCTGTTCTCATCCTTGTGCAGCAAAAGACAAAGAGGCCAGCTCGTGTTTGCTGCTGAGTTCCAAAGCCTAACACTTGACGGTCATCTCTTTTATATTTCAGGGTTCCTGGTGGCCTGGCCCATGCTCCTTCTGCCTGTCCTCCTGGCCTGGCTGTTCTGAGAGCTCGGCTGGGCAACTGGACTCAAAGTCTGTGTCCTTCCCCCAGCAGTGGCTCCCATTTAGCCTTCAGCGTGCTGGTTCCCTGTCCAAATCATGCACAGTCTTGGTATTAATAGACTCAAGGCCAGTCTAGTTTGGGGAAAGGGAAGGGTGTTAACCTTCCTTAACACTCTCAGTGCCTTTGTAGTCTTCTTTTGCTCACGGTGGGCTGGGCTATCTTCCTCATTTGTTAGTAGAACCTTGACCACAAACTTGCTAAGTGCCTTTGTAGCACATGATTATAACTCCAGGGACGAGGTGTCCTGTCATGTGGTCGGGGGGTGGTGGGCACGTAAAAGAGGCACCTCC